CTCTAACTTTAGGTGCAGCAGCTCTAAATTTCACATAATATAGTGTAAATGCATTATCTGCATTAGTGAGACCCATTGGATCCTAAGAAAAACAAAGCAAAGTATGACATGACTAATAATGTCCTAAAACCTGCAGATTTTTAAAAGTTTCAGTGGTGAACATTTTAAGTTATTTGCATTCATCTATACAGAAAAAGATAAATATTACACAACTTGAACTGTTTCACTTTTATCGTTACAAATTACATGTAGCAACAGAGTTAGCGAAAACCTACCAAGTTTCAAACTATCAAGACAGAGCATATTTATCCTACAACTTCAAAGTATATAAGAATATACAAAAAAACAAACAAAAAAAAAACAAGGTTTAATTTTTTTCTACTGAGGACAATAAAACAACAAAACATATGAAAATAATTAACAAGTCTTTGAAGCCTTATAAAGGAGTTTCTAAATTTGGATTTTTTTAAAATTTACAAAACCTACAACCTACAAATTTCAAAACCTACATATAATTAAAAAAAACAGTACTTAAAAACAGTGCTTATACGTGAATGGAGAACAATAAAAAATGTCTTTTTCTTTTAAATTGTCCTTTTCAAAACAAAAGGTGATTTTGATATATTTTATATTTGTTGGCATCATCGTCCACATTTCAAAAAAAGATTCAAAAAAGGTATGTACTTATGCAAGTATAGCAAAACTAGAATGTCTACAAGAAAAAAGATACTTCATAAAAAAATCTAGTAACCATCTAAGGAGGTAAACACACAGGCTTAAATTTCAGTCATAGATCACTTTTAAGTTAATAATTTATCCTTACCCTTTTTGTTAACTGGCTTGTAAGAGATTGCATAGTGTTTACAATGTAGACCTTCATGAAGTGCATAGCTTTGGAGAGACATTGTTTAAATTTAGCCAAATAAACTGGATAATCCTTGAAATTAGGCTGCAAAAAAAAAGAGTTACAATTAATTTGCATACATCACTTAAAAACAGACATTTTTGTTTAAAATATGAATTTTGAACACTATCACTTAAGAAGTCTATTATATAACACAAAACCACTCAATCACCAATTATTACATGCAGTCATGGATTAAAGCATATGATTCTGGATTTTTATACATATAAATTACTATACATTACTTACATGTGATGAAACGTATTCGACGCAATCATCCAATTTGGACAACATTGGTATAAAACCTTCACTATTTACAGATAAAGTTGGAGAATTCAGTTTCTGCAAAAAAAAAAAAAAAAAAAAGATTAAAGTCATTTAAATCCAAACTACTGTATCTGTACTTTTATTGCAGTTAGTCTTGTCTGTGAGATTAAACAAGATAGGAGGCTATTTTCTTTATTATTTATTTATTTTTTATGAAGAATAATACACATCTAAGTTACACTTGGAAACTAAATTATGGTCTGTGTAATGCAGTGTATGTTTTTGCAATGTGCAGGAAAAAAAAAAAGCCCAGCCTACTGTGTTTATGTTTTCCAGCTCATTAAAATATGACAGTTTCTGCTGAATGCTCTCTGCCAGGTCAACAAGCTCTGACTGCAAGGTGAAAAACAAACAGTTAAAACAAGTTAGGAAAAGTGTTCTTCGTATTTAGTTTGTGCACCAGCATAGAAATATGAAGCATGTTCAAAATTATATTGACAACAGATTATAAATAAGACCTCAGAACAGCAGACCAAAAATGTTCTCTTTATCTTTCAACCATGTAACACTGTCGATCTTCAGAGCATATAGTACTTTCAAGACTTCTACTTTGAGTATCATCAATTCATCTACACAATTTCAGCTCAATTTTATTTGTGTAGTAATAAATTTAAAATGATGTTTTTCAAACTTCTAAAATTTTTGAAAAACAACTGAAATGCAATTCAGTATATTGCATATTCCCCAACTCTATGGGGAAGCGATCCATTTAAAAGGCGCTGGTGAAAATAACAGATTTTTCCTTACTTGTTCTTTGAGCAGCTGTTCACAGGCCTCATGCAATGCCCCGGTCTTATTGGACACAAATAGGTACTGTTTCTGAAGAGAATCCAAATGGTCAAGAGCTGCGTTCACATCTTTCAGAATAGCATCACATTGTTCTTGGTAGCTGTTCAAATCGTCTCTTGTTCTCCTAAATGAAAAACAAAGAACACTGTGATTTTTCAGAAAAAGTAGACAAAGTTATGTAGGTTACACTTATTGTAGTTTGACAGAGTGTGTGACGTGATGCGTACAAACTTTACCAACACATTGTACTTCAAGAACAAAATGAGAGTATACACAGAATGCACATAAGGACAACATATTTTCAATAATAATATTGATTATGTTCATACGGTCTGTATAAAATCTTAAATTTTAGTATTTCAGCACCTGTACTTTGCGCTCTCATCCAAGTCCATGCTCGTCTGTAACTTGGCAAACCAGGCAAAGAACTGGAGGGAAGCAAACAGCGTCAGATTACAACATATTACAGTATAGACGACGTTCCGCAGGGAGCGTTTAACTGGCTAACCTTACCTGCTGTGCAGTTTCTATTCTGTCATTTTCCATTTCGAGCATCTGAAAACCTTTGAGTAGGACGTCCTCTGTTGAAGCAGGCACAGCTGCTGTGAACGGGGACTGCAAGGACCGAGACGACAGGCTGCACAGGTCCTCAATGGGCAGCTGCACAACAATACGGCACTCACTGACAAGGTCTCAGCTAACTTTGAGGACAGCCTGTTTCAAACACAGCAACTAAAGCATTCTGTCAGCTAGGCTAAATTAAGCTAAAGTCAACTGAATGCAGCTCTAAAATACAGGAGAACTAATTCGATCTCATACAAATGCAAAGTAATTGTAAAGTTAACTTCTCCAGGCATTTAGGAGTGGAGTTAGCAGCCATGTTAGCCAGCTAGCTGTGTTGAGTCTCCTCTCACCTCCGAGGGAACGGACAGCGTTTCAGCCGCAGCTCGGATCTCCAGGACAGAGTCCATTTGCCTCTCCGACAGGGGGGCCGTGGCATCCGCGCGGCGGTCCCATAAAGACAGTTTTTCTCGGGTTTCCTTGTCCGTTAGATCCAGAAGCGACAGATCCGTGGACGCCATCGTCACTGAGACACCACCAACGTCAGCAGCAACAGCGAACAGGTTCCTGTTCCGGGAGTTTGGGCGGGGCTTTGGGGAAGGCTACACCAATAGAAATCAAGAAGAAAGTGGGTGCGTGCTTTTCCAGTCAGACGGCAAATGACTCGGTAAAAAGGCGGGTAATGTGTAGTTTCCTTTCCAAAGTACATAATGCATCAACTTAAACCAAGGGACTTCCAGACAGATGGCATCCGTCACTAAAATAAAAAAAAATTCTATTGCTTTTATGTCAATCACAACCCCCTGCCGACTGCTTTTGCTAAGGGTGACGAAATCTGTTCGACACGCCGCACGAAGTGCAAACTCTGTTTACAGGTTTCGCGCCTCTCCGGTGTGTAAATGGTGCAGAGCCAGTGAATGGAAACTCATAGACAGTATTATCAAGAGGTGTGGGTTATTCATTTGACCATTTAATTCATTCTGAGCTACTTTTGTTTTACAAGATTATACTCCTGCGACAACATATTTTTGAAGAAAATAAGTTACTTTCTACTCTAATGTCTACCTGGAGTTAAGTTACAGACTCACTTAAAAGTAAATAAAAGAAATCAAGATTTTTTCTGTAATGCTGGACATTAAAATATTCTAATGAAGAAGCAGTATGCAACATGCAATATTCTTATAACTTTCCAAAAGACAATTTTGTAAATTTTCAAATAACCTTGAAAGTCAGCAGATAGATCAAACACAATTCTCTTTATCTGTTATTTTGTCACTTTCAGTAGTTCGATTATTCATTCAATCCATATTTTCTCTATACACATTTTTTCTAATACTGTTAATTAATAATTTGTCTTTTATTTTCGAAACTAAGCCTACCTTCTGATTAAAATGGGAATAAAAGCAAATCGGATATCTAAATATTTTAAAGAATTGGTTTGAGATTTAAAGAGTCTCTCGCCATGTACAGTATATATTACAAAAAAAAAAATCCAGTAGGTGGAGCCCTGGGAAATTTTTTCTCCTCTATTCAACATAGAAATTGGGCCATTTATGTCCTCAGACTCTCTGAAAATGTAATTTTAAGGCTTTCTGATATCAACACATGCTGTCCTAGATTTTAAAGCTGCTGAGTCTGTGATTGGTCTGACTTTTACATTGGAAAGCAAAACACTAAGCATTTTTTTTCCCCTTTATGCGGGAACATCCCATTGTCTCGTCAAGGCATTTTTGCACATTTAAAAACATGTGCACCATAAATTTTGTTTTGTACATGCCTCTTTTGTTGCCTGAAAGGCATATTTTCTTTTTAAAATGAACATGTAGTGACAAATGTCTTTAGTTTCTTAAATCTAAATATGTCCGAAGCTGTTATTAAAAAAGGGCTTTAGTAATTTTGAATGTCTAATATAAAAATTAGGAAACTTAAATAAAATCTCTTATAAAGGAGTCTTCACACACAAAAATGAGCACATCCCCAAATGAAAGCCTGGTGGTATTACATGGATGAGGAGGTGGTGCTTGTGTATTACAGCTTTGTCTGCGGGGTGTCTCTTGGGGAGGTCATGGAGAGTTCAGATACTTTTTTTTCCTCCCTCCCCCTTGTCTTCTTTGTTGAAAGGAGACGCTGCAAAATTCAGGCTGCATTACTCTGGCACAAAAAGAGATGTCAGAGTCAATCTTGTCAGAGGCAGTATTTTGGATCAGTGTGGGTCAGAGAAGATCCTGTTAAAGCAGTAAAAATTGACACGTCGCTCTGTGGTGCAGGTGTTGTGAAAACATGATTGAGAAAAGATGGGAAATCCCACAATAATGGCTGTAAACAATGAGTGCTCATTTCATGAAATTACCAACTTTGTGGGACTCATTTTTAGTGTTTACTGAGCATCACAAAACAAAAAGATAAGGTCACACAGATAATCACTTTGAGTAGGTTTTTAATTTGCCTTTTTGAGGATATGTAAATGTGAAAACTGCGATGAAGCATTAAAGCTGCTGGAGTGAGGAAGTTTTAAACCGTGATCAAGCAATTACAGATAGTAAATACGTAAAAATGTTGAAATAAATCCATCAAGAATCAGCTTTTCTCAGTGAAACCGTTGTATTCTGATTAAACCCTTCTTCTCCTTAGAATGGAAGGACAAGCAAAAAACAAGTATTTTGACAGAACTTGGCTTAATAATGCATTTCAATAGTGACAGCTTCCTTATCGAAGTGCTGGCATTTAATACAAATCAGTTACACTGCAATAAAATCGTCTCACTTTTAAAAAAGCTTGTGAATAAAATGTTTTTGTTGTTGTTGTTGCAGTTTGTGCTTTTACATCCATCAACATCATGAATGAAACATAAACAAAACAATAAAAAAGAAAAAAAAATCTCCTGAGCCCTTTGAAAAAATTGCCTTGAACTTTAGATTCCTAATTCCTAATCTGACCCCACAAAATATTGTACATAATTGTGCAAAGCAAAGATAAAGTATTCACCAGGGCCTGAAATGTACTTAAATAATTCCAATAAATTGTAACAAAAACGGAATTCAGTCCTTTTTGCTTTTTTGATCAGTTCATCCCACATGTATGCACTTATTTACAGTAGTTTGCAAAATTCACTCCCCTTAAACGATCCCACATTTAATTAATATTGCAACCATGAACTTCAACATAAGTTCTATGCGACAGACCAAAACAAAAACATGCGCAAATGTGAAGGAAATGACACAAAGTTTTCAAATTTTCTTCCCAGTAAATACCTGGATATTTTGACATTCTTTTTTTTTTAGCTCCTTTTTTCCCATAACTGTTAACAAAATCAAGTGTAACTAATTTCCTTCAGAAGTCAACTAATTCCTAAATAAAGTCCCTTTGACTGAGATTTAATCTACGTCTTCATTCAGCCATTGTGGAAAAAAAATAGAATGTGCACAGTGTATCAAAATAACACAGTAGACAAATGGAAAAGGGTGTGCAGGTCATATAAGGCCAAAATTGATCTTTTTTTCTCACATGCAGAATGTGTACACATTTCATTATCCCCACAATGAAATGATGGTTTTGATAGACTCATGCTGTGGGGACGTTTTCTAAAGCAGGGACAGAGAAGCTGATCAGAACTGATTGGGAAGATGAATAGAAATAAACACAAGGCAATCCTGTCAGATCTATGAGAGGCTTTCAAGTCTAGTTTCTGCAGAACTAACCATTCAGCCAGAGCTACAATGAGCACAAAAGCATAGAATGCAAACAAGGCTTAGTTGAAGTCCAGTCCTAAATCTAATTGATATCTAATGGAAAGAATAAAAAATAAATGTTCACAAAGTTCTCTCCAATTCATGTGACTGAGCTCATCAATTCTTCTCTTTTGCAAAAAAAGAATTGACAAAGATTAGACTTTCTAGATCAGGGGTGCCCAGTCGGTCCTCAGGGGCCGGCATCCTGCATGTTTTAGTTCTCCCCCTGTTAGTACCAACAACCTTTTCACCATGTCGATGTTCTTCTTAGGCCTGCTAACGAGGCATCATTTGATCCAGGTGCATTAAACCAGGGAGAAACCTGAAACATGCAGGATGCTGGCCCTCAAGGACCGACTGGGGGCACCTCTGATGGTCAAAGTTGGTAGAAACATAGACATAGCAAGAGTTGCAGCCATAAAGCATTTTTTCTACAAATGCATCCCATAGTTGTAAGATTATAATCTAAAAAAACATTAGGATACCATGTCTTCTTTTCTTTCTGTTCACAATTATGCATTTCTTTGTGTCTGTCAGATTAAATCCCAATAAAATATATTGAAATTTGTGGTCATACTAAGACAAACGTGGATGTTCAAAGGGTATGAATACTTTTGCATGGCAATGTATCAACATCATCAGTGGTTAAAGTCTGTACTCTCTAAATGATCAGGTATGGGCAGACCACTAAGGACTGTCAAACATCTATTCCAAACATTGAACACGGGGCAGACTGGATGAACAAAATCAATGTCAAATGTGTACAAGTGCTGCGAGGCCACAGCATCGTAGAAGGAGAGCGACCCCGAATCATAATCCAGCAATATCCCAAGGCGCCGCAGGTGGGGCGAAGGCTCGATGGGGACTTCCTTGCTGTTGTGGCGCACCACCCACGAGTTGTTGCAGCGGGACAGTACCCAGGAGGCTGAGTTCTTGCCAACCCACTCGTGTCTTGGTGCAGACTTGTAAGCAATCCCCACAGCAAACCTGAGTGTATGAAAAGTGATACATTTAACTTAATGGCTGATTTAAAGTACCACAGTTATAAAGAAACCCCGATGAATGCTATAATGTGTGCATCATATTCTGAAGACATACTTCACACTGGACCAATCAGCAAGACTCATTCCAAGCTCAGTGATCCAAATCAGTGTAAAATGCTCTTACCATGTGCTTCCTCCAATCAAAGCTTCCCAGTAATGGCGGCCGCTGTCTATGTAGACATTCCCAGTGACCCCGTAGCTGCTGTGACTGGAGAAGCGCTCCTGACTGTGGCTCTTTTTAGATGATGTCTCATCTCTCTCCACCGTAAGGTTATCGTGGGATACCCTTAGCTTCCGATGAGCAGACTTTGGGTCCAATTTGAATGGCTGACCTTAAAAGAAATCAGAAACCTCAGTAAATTGTTGTTTTATTCGCATATAATTGGCTTTACTCATTATTAAAACACTTAGTGTCAGTAAATATTTGCAGCTGATGATGGCCTACTGTTGGTTTTGAGTTTCCCTGGGGCGCTACTGCGGCTTCCAGCCTGGTTTATGGCCTTCACTATGAAAATGTAGTTGGTGCCACATTGGAGTCCATGCACGGTGTATTGATTTTGCTTGATGTTTGGGACAATCATCCAACTATCAACAGAGTTGCACAGACCTGCAGTCCAGACATACAGAAAGTCACTGATGAGGAACAAGCAGTTAATCACAGGCTCAGTTAGCAGAAATCACAGCGGTAATTCAGTCTATTGCTGCTTTTTTTTTTTTTTTTGACTCGTCAAGCATAATCTTATTAGCACTCATATGAGTGTGCTGGACCACTGGGGCAGACAAGACAACATTGTTCGATTGAGCATGTTGCGACCACATTAGGGTGATCAATTCCAGAGGTCTGCTGCTCATTTTCACCCTGGCACAAGATCAAGACTACAGTAGCATTGGTCCTAGATGTTGCAATTCAATATTTCTTTTAAGCTTTTTTTCTTTTTTCTTTTTTTTTTTAATTACTGAAATGACATTAAACAAATCTAAAATAAAAAAAAAGACAAAAGTTTGCATTCACTCATCAAAAATAAATTGTGGACTTTTATCAGTCCAGTTATGCCGGGTTTGTTCTAGGTGAGGGATCAACACAACTTTAATCATCAACACAATAATAAAGCACAAAGTTTGAATTTATAGTAGATTTCAACCCACAAAGGGTCAAATTTGCTCATGTAGAGTGAGTTGTATGCAATGCTGCGATTGTAAAAGACCTATTATTGTTGTACCAACCCGCCAGACCACTCAGGTTTTCATGTATTTAATTACTTATAAATAGCATATAATCAAGGAGGAACTTCCTAAAGGACAATATCAAATGCTTGTGGTCCTGTGATAATATATGTTGTCTGATTATTTCAATTCATCATTAAAAGAAGACCATATTAATCTGCTATTAAATGTGATGAACCAGAAGAGCACCTCTTTGTTTAAACACACTATTTTATTTGGGTGTAATAATAAAGTCCTGGGCTAAATGTTTTTTTAATTTTGTTGTTGTTGTTGTTGTTGTTTTTAAAGGAACTACTTTCCATCACACAGTAAAGCTCCAATCAATTGTACATTATACACTTACTGACAACATTAGACTGGCTGGTGAAGATGGCATATTGGAGCTCATATGAAATAACAGAAAACTCATCGTCTGACGTCCAGTGAACAGTGATGGTGTCGTACGAAGCTGTACACAGTTCCTCACGAATTGATGGTGGATTTGGTGCTGAAAAAAAAAACAAAAACACAAAAAGCCTTTTTTTGTTTTTTATCCAAAGAGACTAATGGATGCGGAGTGGATTTCATTCCGAACACAACATCATCAAAAAAGACAAACCAAACAAATGTATCGTAGAAAGCAGTGGAGGATAACCAGCACCATTCATTTGTGTTTTCTTTCAGTCTGACAAGTGTAATTAATCTACACTGGAGTTCCTCCAGCTATCGCATCCACAGCCCCCATGTAGTGTTACATTTTCGCTTCTCAACGGGGGCTCAGCATAAACAATCAAACCTCTTTCATTCTGCACAAAATAAGGCCACTGCTGCCAAATATAGTGAGCTTTTTATTCTTCTGCCACTTAACATTACAAGTGTTGAAATTAAAACCACCTTATTCATTACAATGCATAATCCATGATTTACGCCTGAAGAGTGGATTATTTTCAGTTCAGGAAATCAAGACGTTCACAGCTAGTATAATAAATATAGGAATTAAACGTTGACTTTCTTAGTATAACTTCACTCACCTGTGAGGTAATCCAAACTTTCTAGCATTTTCTTTTCCCTCGTAAAGTCCAAAGCAAAAGTATCAAACGCATCATTCAGGTTAATTTCTGGTAACAGTATCTGAGAGGATGCTGTTGCCATAGAGACTCTGTTATTTAAAAAAAAAAAAAGAAGAGACATTAATGTGTCATCAAAGTGGTGAAAATGCATCCATTAACTGTATCTAAAATATTTATAGTGCTTTGTAAAAATACAATAAAATACATTTAGATTTTCAGTGATGAAAAAGATATGAACTCTTTTGCAAGGTATTGTATATTGTTTATGTTTGGTATCTCTCACCTCTCACAGATACTTTTAGCTGTCTGAAGGAAGCGGGTGTGGTCACTCTCCTTCAGGGTTTGATCAGCCTGAGTGATGAGGGAGGACGATCTCTCGACGCACTGCTTACAGCCCGCTATCTGTTGAGCAAGCTTCCTCAGCCTCATGGCCTATGCAAAAAATATGACATGAATATCGATGATTATTGTCAAATAACCAATACACCCAGTGTGATGTTTAGCTACGTCAGTCACAAAATCCCAGTGGGAAAACATCTGATTTACTTGAATACTTTGGATTTTCTTTTTCTTTACTGAGGTGTACTTGAAATGGAGGACATATTTGCAAAGCTTTCCTAACAGCGCTGTCAGAAGCACAACATCCTCCTAACTGGCTTAACAGCCAAGAGCAAATTCACAACCTGTCATGAGAGGCACAGGGTGAGAAAAGAAAGAGTCCTCGAGAGAAGAGCTTCTCCGAAAGCAGGGCTGATCTTATGCTGACACTGAACAAGGCACGACTAGATATAACTTCTCGAAGGGAGAGGTGATGATTCCCGTCTATCACGGAATGAATGTAAACATATTTTAAATAATTGCAGAAGTTCTGACAGAAATATGAATTATGTTTGAATTGCCATAACCCCACAATGTTGGGTAGAACCTGTAGTCTTCTTGTCGATAACTGGGAAAAAGCGGTCTCAGCTTTCAATTCATGTTGATGTGAGCTAAGTTTCTAGTTGCTCTTAATCAGCATGAATCATTACCCATCTCTCTTTTGTTCTGAATAAAATGCTGACACACAGTGAACACGTTTCCCGAGTTGACAGCAAAACTCGAACTGCATGTTTTATAAAATGTGTAAAACAGTGCAAAAATGCTGACAGGCTCTTTTTTCAAGTTTGAGACTGGCATAAATATTTCATTTAATGAAACTGATATGGTTTTCAATCCGAACTTGTGCTACTCATGCATCGTCCCAATCTCATCCTCCTTATCTCCAGCTTCTCTGCAAAAACGATGTATGTAGTTTCAGCAAGATCTTAACCAAATTGTCATTAAGGCATCTTCAGAAGTAGCATTAAATATACTATATTTACTGTGTAAAGTTGAGGGGAAACATTTTTCTTAGATTAATTTACCATTTCAAAAAAGGCTCACATGTCTCACTTCAGTAACAATGCTAGTTTTTCCAATAACACAATGCTCATGGTCTCAGGAGGCAAGGTTATCAATGTAAACAAGGTAACACACATGTACAGAGAACAAGAGTACCTTTCCCTCTTTTATCTTTGTTGCTATTATTTGTCTTCGATGCTGTATGATATTAATCAGCAGGTCACACTCCTCCTGTAGCTTGTTTTCTTGCCGCGAGGCATTTACCTGGACAGATGAGAAGTTTGAGATAAGCAACAGTAAACAAAATAAATAAATAAGTGGTGCTCATGCTAGCATTTGTTTTGACAAAATGTTATGCTGCAAGCTTCTTCACGAGAAAGTCGGAAATCTTTACAGGAACTCTTATGAGGATCACATTCAATAGCATACAAGCAAAATGACGCTGAAAATCAAAAGCAATGATTCTTCTTTCCTCTCACTGGAGGCAAGATCATAATAAGTTGATTTTGTGAGGGATTTGTCTTCTTGTCCCATGTGTTCCTCATCAATAACTGGCTCAACTTTTATATCTCTCTGTTTGGTAACAGAGAAATAATGATGTTCGGTAAATCAGAAATAAACAGAAAAATTACAATTTACAAAATTTTATAAACTAAAAATGGTAAAAAAATTAATATAAAATTATCATGACAAGACAAATGAGCAAGATATTACTATTACTACTACTACTACTTCTACTAATAATAATAATAATAATAATAATAATAATACATTTTTTGCTCATTTTTTAAGCATTAAATTTATGTTTTTGATTATTTATTCTCCATTACTATGAAAATAGTAAAATTACATAAAACATTTAAGAAACTATTATTACAAACATTGTAATATAATAAGTGAGTTTTGATGACATGAGCAACTATTACTTTAAGATCTGGTAATTCATCATGGAGTAAGGAAATTAAGAGTTTCCAGATGCATGGATAAATAAATCTCACCTCCACATTCTGACAGGTTTGGATAAGTTTCCCCATCAAACTTTCTAATTCACTGGTCCTTTTGATTAAGCTGCTGAGGTTGGAGTCCAATGCTTGCTGCAAAACATAATTGAACACAAAAAAATCAACATTTCATTATACACTTTTATATCATCAAGCCATAAAGCAGCTGAGCAAATACTGAAGAGCAGGTACAGCATTTATTAACATCAATTTACAGCATGTCAGAACCCAGACGTAGAGAACAGTGGATGTAACTGGATCTAGATGTCCACTTTTGGGCTCTGATTAGTGCGAACCCCCACAAAGTCCTCTCTGCGGTGTGCAAAAGATCCCATCACCCTGCCTGCTGGAGCATGGAGCTTAGCAGAACATCTGCCAGTGATTAAAACAACTAAACCCTGGCTGTGTTAATCACTGACTGAGATCAAAGGCTTAAATTTCAAACTTAGTCTCTTGACTGTGATTGTGTGGCATGATGATGGTGTGGTCTGATGGGAAAAAAAATGTCAGCTTATATACTGAGTATTATCCCTCTTACATTGAAACACAGATTTCACTCATATCTTTGCATTACCACAACAGTTCATACTTTTTTTCTAGAATCTTTAATTGGAATCCATTTTAAACGTAATAATGGAAAATAGTTGTTAACCTGCAACATTTTTGCGCCCCATATTGAATTGGTAAAATTATTTCTATGCGATAAAAGTTAGTAAACAAGACTTTTTAAGGGGATTTCCCTCAGTACGACATGGGTCAGATGTTTTGAGAGACCTTCCACAAACTTCTCACATGGATTTGAAGTGATTTTTTTCGCCATTCTGTGACGGAGCTGGTGTATCTTGCACATTTCTTTTTGGATCGATCCACCAATATTATATTGGACTGAGAGCAGAGTTTTGTGATGGCCACCTCAAAATCCTGACTTTGTAATCCTTACTTCACGTTGTCTGGTGACTGACTGCTACTTTGGGTGGCTTTCCATTTATGAAGCTAACTGTACTCTACGTGATGCTGAAACTCCCTACTTCACAGTTCAGATGATGCTCTCAGGCTTGAAAGCATCCAACTTTCCCCCCCCCAAATTTCCCTTTCATCAGGCCCCCGGACAAGTCTCCAAAATCAATGTCATTGTGCAATGGCAGTTTACTTTTTATGTTGCTTTTGGAGAAAAGCAGTCAAAAGTAGCCTTTCAGCTCATTTTGAACAGGACCAGTTTCCCTGTGCATTTTGAAACTCTCTTAAGAGCTTCAGCCAGAATCATTACAAAGTTGCACACTCCACACTAAAGCACATTCACTCCTGTACTGTTCCTTTACTGTTCTTAAAGGAACAGTAATGAACTCTCTGGTGGCTGGATATTTCCCTGAGTTTAAACTTGAATACAATTGTTCAATAAGATGAACATGACTCCATCAGGCATTGAATTAGTTTTCAACAATGAAACAGAGAATTGTGCTCTCTTCCTGATATCTTGACTGACATCTTTTAAAAGAACAGTTCTCTCTCTCTTTGTTCTGTCTTTTAAAAATATAGACATTGTTGATCATCCCAACAGACCCCAAAACAGAAAAGGTTTAGTCAAAGGTAGCATCAGACAGTGAGAAATGTTTTTTTTTTTTTTTATACAGCATGTGTATTTATTGCAACATGTTTTGTAAATCTTCATTCAGTAACAATGCTGGATTGTTAACATGCCAATTTCGCTTTAAAATTACATATTTCTCTGAATTGTGTACTTATTGATATGCATCATTGGCAGCCATGTGTAAAGTTACTATGCCATATGGTATAATAATGGAGTCACCAGCAAGACCAAGTACTAAGTTAAGGAGGTCATTTTACCACCTGGTAAGCTTCCCTGGGACATCAAGGGATATTCACCGGGGGCTGGCGTAGTCCCCACAGCAACAGCTGCGTTAGCATATCTCTGGGACCCATAAGAGACTCAAAGAGATCCCACTTGATGGAAACCCATCCTGAACAATTCCTCATTCAAAATCATTTAGTACTTGCCTGTGGTTTCACTACATCACCTCTGATGCAATACTTTGTGTTTTGGCTCTTCTGTAGCTTTTAAGAAGTAATAAAAACAGAAACATACTTTTGCATTCAGTAAAAGATCAAGATTACTTTTCCACTTTTCTAGTGGAAGAGTGGTGTTGCACTACTGCATAACAGCAAAACTGTTCTGGTGCCAAAACCCGGCAGGAGATTTTCTGTGTGAAGTTTTCCACATTCTTCTCCTGCTCACATTAGTTATGTCTCCAGTTTTCTACCAAATCTCAAAGAAAAACATGGTGCAGATACTATATGAGAATCAAGTTTAGTGTTATATTTGTTCATGCAACTTTGTACAGCTCAAGAAACTGAGGTGCAGACCTCTTGGGAAGCATTCAGCAAAATCAAATGAAAAAAAATCAGTTTTTCTCTTTTCTAAGTTTATTGACTTCAAAGACTTGCAATCAAACAAAGCTAGTCTGAAACCACAGATGCAAAACTGCAAAGATGAGGTGCTAAGAGTCACCTGCAAAGATTCCCAAACCAGGAAAAGAATATCACCTATCTTTTCTTGCTTCTGATATGTTCTGGTTTTTTTTTAAATTATTTAAAATGTAGAAAATATACCTTATTTTTTCTACATTGATGTAAAAAGACTGGTTTTGATGGAACACTCTTAAAGTCTATCTCCATATAATGATTCCCCATGTTAACAGCTGCCTCAGAGTCCCAGTTAGCAGCTACGACAGCAGAACTAATTTGTCATGGTTAAGAGTACATTTAATGAAAAATGTCTGAAAATCCCCAGGTTCACACTGTAGTTTAAATCTATCGAAGGCAATGAATCTAAGGATTAAATAGAGAACCAGAGCTTTGGGATGCCACACTGAATATAAATAACACACAGGAGAAGGAGCAGTGCTGTTCATTCCTGGTATCCAGCTCAGTGCTACAGAACACAACTTAATCATTCATAACTATTCACAGCAAAGGATTTTGGAACAATACCAAATTCAACAGCAACATTTAAATCACTGATATCTGAAAACTGTAAAATAAACATCAGCTCGACAGAACACTGCAAATATTTGCTACAATTTTCTCTGATTTTGAAACTATAGTCAACTTCAAAACATCATTTTAGCCTGTGTCAATTTGACAAAGACAGTAAAAGACACAATTTTCTTTTCTTAAAAATCAGCAAGTAATCAGTGCTCATTTCTATTAGCTGATTTGGCACAAACAATGTGTTCTTGCAGCTGCACATGGAGAAATCTAAAAACAATGGCTCAGAACTATCATATTTTCTATGTTTGTAATATTCTTGTTTTTGTTCTTTGCATTACCACACAGTTAGCCTTCAAGTTGCAATTAGCCAAACAAATCCTAAATACTGTCTAGGTGGCAAGTTAAATGAATATGTTGAAATTCATTATATAAATTTTAAAAAAAGGAAAATTGTCTTGTCCTGTTCGATATGAAACAATATTGATTCTTTCAGTATTGATGTAAGATACAATAGAATAGAATAGAATAGATTTCAACTTTATTGTCATTGCACTGTCACATGTACAAAGCAACAAAATGTAGTTTGCATCTATCCAGAAGTGCTATACAGGATATAAATATTTCTAAACAAGTGTACAAAGAAAAGGACGTATAAACAGATAATATACATATATATATATATATATATATATATATATATATATATATATATATATATATAATATATATATATAATATACTTAATGCAGTGAGAATCATATTTGTAAGAGCAGTAATATAAAGCCTCTGCTATTTTGGTATACGGTGACGCACATACCCTATAAAATCACAATGTGGAACACCTATTAATAATATATATATATATATATATATATATATATATATATATATATATATATATATATATATATATATATATATATATATATATAGATATATATATATATATATAATATATATATATATATATATATATATATATATATATATTATATAATATATATATATATATATATATATATATCTATATATATATATATATATATATATATATATATAGATATATATATATATATATATATATATATATATATATATATATATATATATATATATATATTATATAATATATATATATATATATATATATATATATATATATATATATATATATATATATATATATATATATATATATATATATATAATTAATCCAGTGTTGTTTGAAAACCTGTACAAACAATATGTTTGTGTTTGAAACTGAAGGGAATAAATATAAATTCTCCCATGCCAATGAAAAAGAAGCATAATTTTTCACTACGCCGCAATGAAAGAGCATGGAAAACATAAACCAACCAGAATTTAGGCAGTCAGTTACTATTACATTTATGATATATGACATTCTTACGGTTTCTCAGTCAGGAAGCAACTTTGGTCTCACTGTGAATTTCTCTGTCATCTCATCAAAATGATTCTCACTGCATTAAGGATGAGATGTCCAATTTTAGAGGTTTTGAAAACTTCACTATTTCTATCCAGACATGCCCTCGTGCTTCCATTTATGTTTATATTTAAATGTGAATTAATAAGTCCAATCTTGGTTGTTTAGTAATGATTAAACATTCTGCCTGATTTTAAATCTAACTTTAAACTTAAAGAAATTAAACTTCAACAGCCTAATTTATTTTAAAACATTCATCTTTAAGCCATCTGCGTTTTCTACACATAGCTAAAACAACAAAGCAGTTCTCCAACATGAAATCTGCATGACAGAGCTCGCAAAACCATAATAATGTTATGTGTCGACTTCTTTTTGCTGAAAACACCAAACAGTCAATGATCAGAGAAAGCTGGTAAAATAAAGCTCCGAAGGTTCAAAGCCTGAAGCAAACAGTTTGGAAACCACTTTCATGTTAGGTGTTCCACATTGTGATTTTATAGGGTATGTGCGTCACCGTATACCAAAATAGCAGAGGCTTTATATTACTGCTCTTACAAATATGATTTATTTATACTGAAAAGAGTGTGATGAAAGCCATTTCAGAGTCTGTGTTGCTGGTACAGGCGATGTGAATTCCTCGCTT